TCGCCAACAAGGAAGAGAAGAAGGCTGTTAAGAATCTACCGAAATCAAAATAAATATCATTCCTTCAATCGAAATCCATCATCAACAGTTATTTAAGTTTCAATATTTGAATACCTCAATAAATCATATTCTGTTAATATTTTTAAGTCATGCTTCGAATATTATTCCACACTTTGTAGAAAATACAAAAGTTTAGCAATAAAATTAAATTATTTCATTGATTTAAACATAAAATGTTGGTCTGTTATTTCGGAAATTGAGCATATAGTATACCAAATGTTCAAACATGTTTTTCGCTTGCATTTCCATTTTGACTATACATTTCTAGGTCAAAATGTTTCCTTTGGAATGGTAAGTAACTTATTAAATGAAAAGTGGAGTTGAACTCATTTTGCTGGCAATGAATTGGTTTTGTTTTCAATCAGTTGTGTATTTGAACAATAAATTGTGTGATATTTGGTTAAACAGTTATAGATAGCATTATTGCATTTCATTTCTTTTCCATTAATCTGTATTCTCCAGTTTGAAACCAAAGTTTTACTTCATTTTCTAAAAACAATTCTATTTCTTTCAATGCATTGTGCATTGAGTTTGATTCGAAATAGACTACGTCAACAGCTTGAATTTCATATTCAATGAGAAGATGCTGCACATTTGACATTGTACATTTATTCTAAATCAGATATCAGTAAAGAAAAAAATAGATTTCAAAATAATGGAAAAATCACGCAAAAGTTTTTCCAACAAAGAATTCGCATCATTTCTCCGACAAAAAAACCGAATGAAACTGGTATAAAAACAAATATTTCGTGTTCGCCAGAAAAAAATCAATCGCAATTCAAAGCCCAGTGGAAATTAAAACTACGCATTTTTTTAACTTGTTCGAGTGACTGTTGTCTATGGTACTTTCTCGAAAGAAATGTTTTTCCATTGATGGCGCATTATGTGTGCGTAGAATGTGAAACGGTCGAACAGTATATAAGCGGTGCCGCATCGAAAATCGCGGCAGTTCAATTCGAGTTCTGTATCAAAACGTTTCGATATCAGTTAAAGGGTGTGAACAAATAATCAATTCCATACGTTATTTCAGGTGTGAAAACGAGTAAGAGATGTCACTTCTTCCATATATTTTGGGTGATTTTCTACCACCAAAACGATATAATTCGAGTGCTGGATCATTACCGAGTCATTTGAGCATATCGCCAAAAGAGTTGGAACTGATTCAATCATTAATTCGTTATGGTCAATTGAGACGACTAATTGATTTCAATCGATTGGCACCTAAATCGCACATTGGCAAAGATGGTTTTGAAGTTCGTCTGAATGTTGAAAATTTTAGGCCCGAAGAAATCACGATAAAAACGGTCGATGACTCAGTTATAATTGAAGCAAAAAATGAGAGAAAGAATGATAACGAATTGGTATCAAGTCATTGCCGTCGACGATACGAATTGCCCAGTGGATTTCGACCGGAGGAAATTACTGCAACGATGTCATCGGATGGTGTTTTAACAGTTAAATGCCCCAGAGCTTCAATCGACAAAAACAACGTACGACAAATCGAAGTCAAACAGACAGGACCAGCAAGGCAAATCGATGATGTGGATAAAAAATCCGAACAACAAGAAAAAAAAGCTGATCGCTGCCGAGTTTTCTAAACATTTAATATTTTTAAGAAAATGTGCTATTTTCTATTCACGCTTTTTTACTTTAATTTTGTTTTATTCCATCAAATTTATTTTATTATTTCTGTGACAATTTACGAGAGAAATAAAGAAGAAAATATTTGTCAAAAGTATTGTCTTTTTGAACGTCTTTTCTGAAGTTGAATTTAACTTAAAACGTTTTTTACTGAGAACTTTTCATTTGTATCTGCATCAAATTTTTCTATACTGTGGAATCATTCGTGATCGCATTTTCACATGCATCCCATTTCTCAATGCTTTGCTTAGACGGAGAAGAAGTGCGAATCTTCAGTAGTAGCCATCCATCGCGAACTATGTGATAAAATTGAAATTTTTGGTTAGATCTTTCACTGATCGAAATTGATTCGAATTCCAAACATTTCAAAACATACCGTATGAAAAACCAATCATGGTGAGTATGACCAATTCAAATAGAATTGGTAGTAAACTAAACATATCTAACAATTCATGTATAAATTCTGAAAATGATTTAGTTTCTTCTGAAAGTGTTCCATCTAATATTGATGATAGGCAGAGATAAGTCGAAGCCAATAAACGGTACTCCCGACACATAAGCCACCACATTTCTTGGTTTTTCTTTGATTTTATCATCTACAAATGCTATCGATACCAACGTAGAACCTGTAAAATTGAATTATTTAGTTTAATTTAAACTTCAATACCAGCATTATAAATATCATACATACCCGGAAATGCCATGATGAATTCTAACAGCAATCCCCACAACAATGGGGGAGATGCATCTGGAAAATCTGTTTTATCCAACGAACATTTCGAAATCATGTATAGCATATAATTCACCACAATGAAGCAGAAAATATTGAGAATGGCCCTGAGAATAACGCTTTTCCATATGAAGTTTTTCTTTGTCTACAAACAATAAGATGAATGAAATATCAAACAAAAATTACAACATTCAGTTGAATTGATGAACTTTGTCTTTCGCATGGGATATATTACCTTACGAATTACATGGTAAATGAACATTATATGGTTCAATGTGTTAAACACCATGTAAGCGATGGCAAAATATAGGAATATTTGTGCCAATGATATTCTTTCAAGATTATGTTGCACATCCGATAGTGAATTCCAAAGCATTACAGCCAGAAGAAAATGACACCATTCACACAGAAGAAAAGTGGCAATGTAGTAGGCTGTTTCTCCTAGATAACTTTTCGGTTTGAAATCGTCCACAACGTAGATGACCAAGCCTATGAACAACACAATTTTTGCAATTACATTAATTTCATCAATTTTTTTTGTTAACATTTACTATTGGAACTATTTGCAACAGTTCTCACCTATTACCACAGTAAACCAATACATCCATTGGATTTCGGAATTTGGTTCCTTTAGCGCACTAACATTGTCTATCTTAGAGAATACCTGAGACTGAACTATAATATTAAATATGAGGACGAAAAAGCCATTTACATCAAAGAAAAAGGTAAAGATCGAGTCATCTTTAAAAATGTGTCGTTTGTTTGCCATCGTTCCAAAAGAAAGAATTAGAAATAAAACGTATGTTCGTAAATTAAAATTCTTTGTGAAGGAAAAATTAAGTGATGTGCATACGGCATCCATATACACAAAACTAATCAGACGCAGATGTTTTCGACACACACAGCTGTCGTTCTGTTGTTGTTATCCTTCTTGATGTACATCTTTTCAAAAACCCGCCAGAGGTCGTTGCTTTTGAATACAGTCAAGGAATGAATGTCCTGAGCGGCGAATTTGTTCGTCTTTCACATCTTCATTATGTTATATCTGAAGGATTTTTCTAAACAAAGAAATTTTAAACATTTTTGGGGGAAAACGAATAATTTCAAATCTAAATGAAATCAATTTAGTAAATTAAGACTGCATAGCACTAGTATATTCTAAATTTTAAATGTAAACATAATTTTTAAGGGCATACATGTATTTGTATGTGAATAACATCATTTGCTGAATAAATAAATAAATATGAGTCTAAAGATGAAATTCTGTTTTCATCACGATTGAAAAACGTTCAATGAGCTTGCGAAACGAGAAATGCTTTCCAAATGTGCCTCGATGTTCAACACGTCCAACCGAATGGAGTTACAGTAAAAACCGTTGATAATTCCGTCATCGTTGAGGCAAATCATGAAGAACGCGAAGACTCACCCGGCTACATCTCCAGGAAACTTACACGACGCTACGATTTACCGGAAGGATTCAAAGCCAAAGACGTCGTTTCTTCAATTTCATCCGATGGTATTCTCTCAATCAAATGCCCGAAATTCGAACCAGCTATCGAGGGAAACGTTCGCTACATTCAAATATAATAAATCGGGCTTAAGACAGCGTACGACAATTCGATGTAGTACGATCAGCCAGAGAAATTCAGAAAAGAAACAAAGAATCAACAAAACGAAAATAAATATCTACGTATATATAAAGATTTGATGCCATTGCTTGTTGAACATTTTTTTTTATTCAATTTTAATACCACTAAATTTAAGAATTCAAAGAATAATTTAAAGTTTAAGAGAGAATTTAAAAAAGTGTTGAAGAAGTATTGTCTTTTTTAAATGGTTTAGGAATGGCTTGAAATGAATTTAAAACTTTTGTTCGCTAACTTAAATTGAGAACAGTGGTTTCAATCCGTAGTCGTATCTATATCTTCCAAAATCGTTGACGGTACCAGATCTGGGCATTTGCACAAGGATGAAGCGGAAAATTAAATAGATTGAGGCGACAAAATGGAAAATTCTTTGCACAGAATGCCACTGCACCGCGTAGATGTATCCCATTTCCGAATGGTTTGCTTTGACGAAAAAGAAGTATGACTCCTCGATAAGAACCATGCATCGCGAGCTGTTGAATGAATTAATAGTTTTTGTGAGATTTTCCTATGAATTGAAATAACTCAAATCCAAACGTGTTTTGTACAAACAAGGCATGAAAACATACCATATGAAAAGTTTTTCATCATCAATAGAATGAATTCAAACAAAGGTGATGATGGATGACCGCTACCTTTCCGTGAGCGTTCTTCAGCAGAATGCTTCGTTTCTCTAAACATTACATACATCACAATCAGTAGAATGAACGGAATGACTGTCCCGAAGATCATTATAAGCGAGGAAAATAGGGGTACTCCATACACATAAGCAATCACATTTTTCAGTTTGCCTTTGATTCTTGCATCAATCCCAAATACTTTACCATTTTCATTATAAAATTGAACAATCGTAGACGCTGTAAAATTGATGATATCACATTAGTTTTGTTTCGAAATTATATTTGCGAAAATGTGCATACCTGGGAAAATCATGATGAACATTGCCAAAATACTAAAACATCGGTCATCTCTATCCGAGTCAAATTGCGTAATTGCTATTTATAGAAACGAACACACCACAATCATTGAGAGAACATTAAGAAATGCTCTGAGGATAACATTTTTTCATACGAAGCTTCTGTATGCGGTCTATGAATAATGGACCGAGAATAAATTATTCATTTAATTGGACTGATCTGATCAACTTCGTTCATCGCATAAATTATCTTACCTTGCAAATCACGCGGTGGATTATCATTATATGATTCAAAGTATTAAACACCATATAAGCGATGGCAAAAGATAGGAATATTTGTTGAAATGAAAATTGATAAAGTTTGTCTTGAATACCTGATAGTGAGTTCCACAGCAATATGATTAAAATGAAATGACATGATTCACACAAAAGAAACGTTGCGACGTAGTAGGCCGTTTTACGCCGATCATTTGTTGGTTTGAAAAAGTCCACAATGAATATGACGAATGCTGTGAATACGATATTATTTTTTATATTTATATATTGTTTGAACTTATTATTGGGACTTTTTTTTCTTGAATTTCTTACCTGTAACTATAGGAAACCAATACATCCATTGAAATGTAGTTGTTTGTACATTAAGAGGACTTTCAGATTTTGATGAAAATATGATACTTAATTGGAGAATAGTCAAACCAGACACGAGAAACAATACTGTGAAGAAGGCGTCATGTTCAAAAATCAGACTTTTGGTCGTCATTGTTCCAAAAGTGAAAAACAACTGAAGTACTCGTGATTTTATTTTTCGTTTGCAAACTGAAAATGGAATTCGACTATGAATGTGAATACCTATTTGTACAACAGATACTGGATAAACATAGCTAGGTATACTTTTTGGTATCCTCTTTTGACAGTTTATTGAAACAAAAAAACAGATATATGAGATTTATTCCCAGTCGACAGAAACAAAATAGAAGTATACGTTAGAAAAGTCATGCCTCGTAATTTAATGAGTAATTTCTTGTTCATTTAATTCAACTTCAATTCTATTTTACTAGAAAATCTATTATAACCGTATAAATTTTCAGGAACACAAAAGTGAAAAGAATCATTTTCAAATAATATCTTTTTACCGCTTATAGTTTCAAATAAATTTCACGCATGTAGGAATTTTTCGTGTCGAAAAAAAGCATACTTCCATACTTCATACTAATTGAAAATAAATAATTATAATATATTATAAAGAATATCAATTTCATTGCGAAAATTGAAACCATTTCAAAGTGATAAGAACATTGTTCGTGTGTCAAGAAATCGAAATCTCAAATTTATTTTGCAAATATCGCGTTCAAGTTCATACAAATGTAGATATTGAATCGTATGCAATGACATTCATCTACTAATATCTAAAAATTATTCGCAATATTCAGCATTAATACACAGAACCAAGAAATGCATTGAATTATGTACGAAATATCGTCGATCGAGATATCAATAACGAATTCTATACTCTGATGATTTAAGTCATCTTGCCTCATAAATTAAATGGTAGATTATATGGTTCAACGTGATTGGATAAATTTATGTATCAGACATGCCTTCAAAGCTAGGTTTTGCTCTATGAAAATTCTTTTTTTTCCAATATAGCTCGTATAGTTCAGATTCATTTAAAATTATTTTTTTCCTTAAAAAAAAATTCCAGATTCTTATTGTTAACGGAAAGATATTGAGATTGCTTCAGAGTAATTTCAATTTGTTTACCTTTTTTCAATTGCTGTCATCAGAAAAGAGCATCTAGCTCCTCAGAACACAAAAAAGAGAACACCAATTCAAGATTAATTCGAAATATTTCTTTATTCCATATTTTCTAGTAATTCTTGATCGAACATAACGATAAATTATAACGTTGTCTTCAAAGCCAATTTGTTATCCAAAAGAGATTAGTGATCGATATAAAACAAAAATCCATTGCATTGCCTTGAAATTATTTATGAAATAAGATAAAAGTCTTGGGCAATCAACACATTATTGAACAAACTGTGTTTCTGATCTGTTTTCGGTTTTAAATTTGTGTTTTGTGTTTATACTTAAACTAAAAAAAGAAACTATATATTTCATAACAGAAGAGAGGGAAATTATGAGGGAAGCAAAATGTCGTTGTGAATGTTTTAAAAGAAAGTGAATGGATTATTGTAATCATTCGAAAAATGGAAATATTGTCGATACATTTGTGATGGATCAAATTCGACATCGTCCAAATCTTGTCCATTGTCAAAGCGTTCCTTCTTCTGTGGATCGGATAGAATGGCGTAGGCTTCGCCGATTTCTTTGAATTTCTTTTCCTGTTCGCGTTTCTCATCGTCCGATGCGCTGGCATGACGATCTGGATGATGGACTAGGGCACGTTTTTTGTACGCCTTTTTGATTTCATCGTCCGATGCGCGCTTGTCAATTCCTAAGATTTTGTAGTAGTCTTTTCGTTTCGATCGCTTGAGCGCAATTTTCGCTTCCTTGAGTGCATTTTTGATTTCAATTGTACGTTCCATTTTCAGGGCGGTCTCATAATCTTTCACCGATTCCTCGTAGTTTTCCATGTCATTGTGACACTTTGCACGCAACAAGATCACTTTGAGGTAGGCGGGATTGGTTTTCAATGCTTCGCTACAATCGGCAATGGCATCTCGAATGTTGCCAATTTTTGAGTTCATCAGCGCACGATTATACAGCAGCTTTGAGTTGATGTCAGCATTCAACGGGTCGATTTCAAGTGCTTCTGTGTATAATTTGTGTGCTTCACGGAATTTACCCACTTTGAATAGTTTGTTGCCTGTAGAATTGGAGACGTGAAATGATTTAGTTCGGTTTGAATTTGAAGCTTTCCTCCTTTCGAAACGAGGTGGAGTGATGCTTACTCAGCACCGCAGCCAAAACGAGTAAAAAAACTTACAAATCTACTTACCACTTTCTTTCTTTTCCTTTAAGCTCTTTGCCTTCAGTCGCATTATTTTGGCCTTGCTGTGGTCTGGATCTAATGTGAGCACTTGTTGGAAATGTGTCAAGCCTTTGTCCAAATTATCTTTGTAGTACAAGCAGAGACCGCGCACATAAACTGCGTCAGCGCTGGCTGTATCGGATTTCATACAGGCTACGGCAATATCATTTGCTTCCTGTGTCGATAAAAAAAACAGCAATGAGTCAATTCATTTTATGGATATTATTGCTAATCGTCACGCTCAATCGTGACGAATTTGCGTTTTTTTTTTTCGTTATTTCTCAAACGACGAAAAAAAAGTTCAGTAAGTAATGAATTTAAAACTAAAAAACTTGGAACCTACCTCAACACGACCAAGCAGAGCTAAGCATTCGGCTTTCAACAATCTAAATTTCGAACAGGCAGGTGCAATTTTGAGAGCTCCATCAGCGTGAAAAACTGAAATGCATTAAATAATTCATTCACAAATTGATTTGCGTCATTCAAATCGATTTTTTGTTCAGAATGATTTCGAAAGAATGTCCGATTTTAGTTGAGATGGAAACAATCACTCACCAGCTGTTCGGAAGTCCTTTTTCTCGTAGCTTTGTGTGATTTTTTCGTTGAACGACCGCAACTGTTTGCACTGTTCTTCGTATTTGTTGCAGATGTCATTGTTCGAACCGAGTGCGGCGAGTTTTTTTATTGATTGCTCAGCACCGACAATATCTCCTAGCATGAGGCAACATTTGATTATACGGTCATAGCCTTTGGCGAATTTGTCATCGAATGAAACTGCATCACGGCTGTCACGGAGAGCTCCTTTGAAGTCGCCCATCATCATTAGGCACGCCGAACGGTTGCCATAATATGCGGCATTGTCGGGACACAGTGTAATCGCTTCGCTGTACAAGTGCAATGCTGATTGATAATTCTGTGCTTTGTATTGATCGTTGCCAGCATTTTTCTTGTTCTCAGCCAGCCTAATATGGAATTAGAGGAAGGAATTATTTGTCAGATGCAAAATAATGTGCGAAAAAAAAACAATGGAAAAAACAATTTGCCTTTTAAAATAAACAGTAGGTTTCCTTTTAAGCTAACACAATCTATTTTGAATAAAGTCGCCTTGATATTGAGCGAAAGAGTTGATCGCGCTTATCTGAATCATCAACTCGTTTATTCATATCACTTTTTTTTTAGAAATAAGCAGACGGATACAAAGTGAGTCAAACAAAATGACAGACAAAAAAAAACATACAACAACCCATCGAAAAAAGAGTTGAGCACAAAGCCAAAATCGAAATGTCACACATAAGAAAGGCGCAGAAATATCAAGAGAGGAAAAAAACAGCATTGAAATGGTTTATTATACACGGGAATGAAGCTCCACCAACGCACAAACGCGTCAAACGGTGCATTGGAACACGAATGTTCCTTCAACCAGAAACACAATGACAAAGCAAACCAATGCGAACGACCAATGACTCTTTGCTCTTAATTACATTTTTATATGGCTATATAGTGAGGAGAAACCGTGAAATCGATATGCAAATCGAGAAATGGAGAGCCCGAAAAAAGAGAAATATGTTATATCGCATAGAATTTCTCTAATGTGAATGGCCTGCCAAAAGGATCGTTGGCACCTAAGTAGTTTAACTTCATTAGGTGCACACACAAGAGAATGCTGTGTGCTTGAACATATATACTTGATTCTCTATTTTTTCAGTGTGATGTTGACACACTTTATAGCAAGTTGCGGCGCACGCACAAATTTATCGAATCGAATGTTTACGTCAAAGAGTATGACGACAACAATGCCCACCAAACATGCATAATAATAGTCGATTGTCTGTCGTAATTCAATTGTGGCTCAAATCCATTGTCGCTTGGTCTTCGCTCTCTTTCTCTTTCACACTAACACTTATTTTGCCTGAGCTATTTTTCCATAACTTAATATTAAACTGCTGTCATAAACTAATTCCTATCGTTGATGTAACGTTTAAAATTAAATTTACTCCAAAAATTAATCATTGCGTTGAAATTTATTTTTTATCGAAAAAATGCTGTAATTTCACGCAAATTTCGATGCTAGCTTTTTGTTTCATGTATCCAAGGGACACATGAAACCACAACCTCAAAACGGTTCTCTTTCACGTTCAATCTATGTGTCGATGATGAAACACTTACGTCTGATTATTTTCGATCGGAATGAATTGCATTTCCATGTCTTCGTCGGATTCACTTTCGGTGTCGCTATCGATCACAATTACGTCCTTTTCCTGATCCACATCCATATACACTGGCCGAATTTACAGCGAAAGTTTCACCACAAAAAAAAAACGAACAAGAACCGAAAAGAGAAAAAGTAATTTTTGGCGTGGAAAAAAACCAACTACCACAATGCCTTTGTATTTCACAGTATATTTCGAATTTTTATCGCATCCACGTTAGATCAGCTTCTGACTGCGTTATTGTAAATTGAGTGTGCTTTTTAATTTTCTACTATGTAATATTTTCTTGGGGAAAAACGTAGATAGCAAACAAAATAAAAATCCACTCTTTCTCACAATTGCAGTCTGTCTGATGTATCGCGTGCGATGAGAATCACAATGAAAAGAAAAAGTTATCGGTTCTATTGAACGTAAGCAGTGCCAACTTAACCAACAGCACAATGCACATGTCTTCCGTATTGTCAGGGTTGCCCAACACACCTTTCAATAACAAACGATGAGAATTTTGCAGCGAAAAATGGAGTTTAGTTTAAATATTTTTATGATTGCTTTGATTTTATCCATTTGTTTTTATTTCAACCGACTTTCAATACGATCAAAACAATTTCAATAGATTTGTTGTGCTTGAAATGCGTATTTTTTCATACATTGAAACAGCTGATTTTCAAATCACATCTGAAACCTGCTGAAAACCTTCAAATGTCGTATGACTGAAAAGAGAACGAAACATAGAAATCAAACACGACAAGTGCACCACAAACCACTGAACAAATGGTTGGAATTGAGTTCAACACAATATTTTCGGTTTCTCTCGGGGAAAAATTGAGTTTTCAAGAAAAATCTTTTTAATTTCATAATTTCTCAGGAAACATTTTTTTCTTCAAGCCTATAAATTTGATATCAATTTGAATTTCTTTTTGTTCTAATTGAAGACTCAAGTGTTGTATAAGCGGAGAATATGTGGCGATTGAGTTTAAGAGGACAGATGGTAGTGTTTGTTTAGGAGAATAAGTGGAGTTTTGCTCATCACATTCTCGCTCCATTTTAGACATCAATAATAATAAGGTCAAGAAAATGAAAAACCATCGATTTGATTTTGTTTTCAATTCGTTCAAAAGGATAAAATAAATAGAGCGAATTTCTTTTTATTAAATATAATATACACCAAAGTCGATTATACTTTTCCAAACATCTGATTCTCATGCATTCACACAAACTTTGAGTATTTTTTTTTTATTATGAGATTAATATATTTTCATAGCCATAGTTTATATCATCGTGACATCTGTGCAGTTAATCAACGTAGTGTGGATCTACGACGGTGTCTTGGCGGAATGAGACTACCTCAGCTTGGCTGTCGGCATGAATGATCTTTGGCTTGCTTCCCGGCTGAAAATAAAGAAAATAGAATGAAAATTAGTTCACGTTTCAATCCAGACAGACAGACAGACAGAGAGAGAGAGAGAGAGAGAGAGAGCGAGGGATGGGTAAGATTGGAAATATTACCTTTGGGTGCATCAAAACAAATGGAAGTTCAGCAGAGACTTCACCACCGAGAGCGCCCAAGAAGAGCTTAACTTTGACGGCATAGGATACAATGATTCCGAACGCATCACGATTTTCAGGAGTGGCTTGCCTATTATAGTGAAGAACATGGATTTGGGAATAATAATTAAAATAGAAACAAAATGTTGTCGATAAGAATGTGACAAACACCAAGATGACCTAGTTAATACTCACAAAGTAGTCGATGCCAAGTTGCTGTCTTCACGTTTAAGCTGGCCATCCAAGGCGATTCCCTGACGATTAGCATTGTTGCAAAGCAATGGAACGAGGTACATGGTTTTTTGTAAGCTTGATCCTGGACTGATCGGGCATCCTTCGCTAGTTTCAACCGAAGCAACTGTGTTACGATATTGACCATTTTGGAACAAAACTACATCGACACCTTGTTGAATCATAGCCTTGATCTTCTTAACGACTTTGTTCGAATTGTTTCGCACGACAATATTGACACCGATGCGTTCGCCATGGAAATAAAGTTGCTTATCCAATGTTACTTCCAATTCCAATTCGCCTGGGCTGAGCAAAAAGTCTTTGCGAACGATGGTGCATGGTTGAGTGCCTTGTTTGGCTGGAGCATATTGGACTTTGCGAATGCCCAAAGTCAAAGTGCTACGACGGTGGGTACGATCAGTATCGTTTTCACCGCTGAATACCTAGTTTTCAGATATGAAATTGAAGTGAATTAATATGAAGCATATGTTATGGGCATAAGACTAATGAAAACTTCTTAGAAAATGTGTAGAAAAACTCACCTTAACAAAGTAAGAGACACCGCATGGTTCGCCAGTTTCCTCAAGGCCTTGTTGCAAAATCACCGATGCTGGGCAGCTTGGTGCAATGTTGAACGTGAATGGGAATGCATTCGGTCCGAGTTTCTTGAGGAGACGTTCTTGCAATTTCGATGGTTCTTTGACCTTTTCCGTTGGTGGGTACAATTGCTCCGACACCAAATACAATTCCTTTTGGAAGTTCAAACCCATCACTTCATCTTCTTCGCGGCCATAACGGAAGCTGCACACAACTTGACCGAAAATCTTTCGCTTTTCGCGCACATATTCTTCGTCTAACACAATAATTCCTTCGATTGGTTCGACCGAGGCAATGTTATCAACATAGTCGCGTTTGCCCAAGTAAAGAGTGATTTTGCCATTTGGGGCACACTTCTTGAATACTTTGAAGTTAACAACCATTTTGAATAGATTTTTTTCTTTTGAATTTCTTCTACACTGAATTCACTTACTGGATGTATTCACTTGAGCAGTGACTACTGATTTGATTGCAATTCTCACAATGCCAGCCGCTTTTATAGTCAGACACGGAATATTTTCTAATTTAATTATCAATGTTTTTCCGCTTTTCCAATCGATAATTAGCAAACATAATAAACACCTCGGTGACCAAAAATGTATTCCATTTCTACGGATTCTTTGTGTTTATGATTCACCTTCACTTTGTTACTATTCGGCGACAAACTGACCGAAAATTTGCTAACCACCCAATTGCTTATACTGATGTTATGGTTTCTATTATGAAAATTGTCACATCATAAACTGTTTTCTGGTTTAGCAAAAATGACTTTTTTTTTCCATATGTTCCAGAAAGAAATGCAGAAAATAGTGTAATTTGCAACAACGTGATGTTGGCTTAGCCAAACGGTTCGTTAGGTAATTTATGGTCGAATAGCCGAAAGACGCTTGTCATAGGTTGTTATGATTTCATTGGTTTATGCACTTTCTTTAATACGACGATGAATAGTGATATAAATAAATCCAAAGCAGATCAATTTGCATTATGACCAGTCAAGTCTCGATGATTCTAGCTCAATCTATGAGCTCCAATGTACTACGTTTGAATTTTGCTTAATGCAATTGACATCGAATATTCTTGAACTTCGATGACAATATGTGACGAAGTTCTCTTGCACGTTTTTTTGACTTGAATCGTCCAAGATGAATCAAATTCGATAATCCCAGTGCCGAATATAGAATTGGGGACTAAGAGACATGGACGTGAATGTAAGTGAAAAATGGCATATAATGTTTTATTTATGATAAAAAAAATGCAATCAAAAAATAAAACCAAACAAAAAAACATCGTCATAGACATATTCTCATTACAATAAAAATGAACGAACTCAAAGAGTACAAACGAATCGAGCTGCAGATAAAATTTCATTCATACTTCTTCAATCAGTTTGGGTAATTCAGCATTAATACAAGTAAAAGGAAATAAACAGAGAGACAGTAGCTGCAGAATATGTCAAGAACATCGTCAATAATTTAATAGTCAAATGGAATATCACTTGTTCAATTTTCTATATATTTAGAAAGCAAACTTATTCATGACCCTCATACATTTGCACAACAAGACCACGTAAATATCATTTTAGATAGTTTTTCAACAACAAAAGTATGATTATGTTCAAGCTATAGGACCAATGTTTCAGCCTGATTAAACCAAGACACAATTTTTTCTAAACATACTTTTGACGATTGAATGAAATTTAATTTGTAAAATAACTAGTTAGATTTGCTGGCATTGATCCTGCATTGAAAATTTCAACGACGTTAAAAGTTGTTCAATAGTGAATTCTAAATACAACATTATTGGAGCCGTGACTTCATCACGATGAATTCTAGAGCAATCGATATTAGTATTTGCGGAAATAAAGCAATAAAAAAAATTCTTTATAAAAAGTGATTGAAAAATGTATTCTCATTATTATTATTAACAATAAAGTCCAAAAGTAATCACTTTTCAAAAAATTCGTCATAAGTTGCCGTGATTATTTCATAATTTTTGTGGAATAAAATTCGAATAAAGTTTCATGCATCCTTTGGGTTTAAGCTGTATCGTTCGGCGATGTCATACAGACAGAGTTCAATGGAGTGTAAAACCGACTCAACAAAGAGAAATAAAATTGTAGAAAGAGATGCTAAGCAAAAACGAGTTGAGTCACGATATTTTCTGTTGCTTAAGGTTAATTGCTTTATTGAGAAATAGCTATTGATCGTTGATAGTAGGTACTCTTTTATTGCTAGTACCTACAATTTTCCTATAAAATAATCCCATCTTCCAAATAACAACTGATATAAATGCGTGGAGAATTCAGCCCGAAAGGCATGATTCTATAACGCTTATTCATGACAAGAAAAGGCTGTTTTAAATGTTTGTAAAATGTGCGAGTACATTCCCCCCTAAACGAAAAACAGCAAGTTGAACAAATGTTGAGTAACATCGTCATTGCGATTTTTTCGTATTCTGTTTAAAATGTTATATGGTGCACCAGTCCCGTATAAACAAATTCAATTGAAAGAAAACGAAGCAGCGAAAAACGTAGAGTGAGAAATTCGGTTGTATGCATTGAAACGTCATTTATACGAGACGATATTGCGGGTAACATACAATATTCAAAAGAAGAGCAATGTTATTTTGCTTCGTGCGTACTATCCGTATTTCGCACTAACACACACACACACACACGGTCGCTGGCATTGAATGAAACCACGTGAGTTGAGTGTGTGTATAGCATGGTATGTGGCAGTGTATGTGTGGTTTACATATGAGCGATATTATTTTTTGTTACATACGGCAATACCAAAACCAGAGGAATGATCCGAGGCAATTCGTTCGTCAAATCAGTTTTTCCAAATTTAATGAAATGCTGTAATTTTTATGAATAAAGAAAATCTCACCCATTTTCATTGAGCCAGTATGTATGTAATCAAAGGCCTCCGTATTGTATGCTTCAATTTGCGTTGGCGTTGCTTTTTTTTGCAGGTATTTGACATATGAGCGCGGTAATAAAACTGGTTTTTATTGTAGACAACAGAATAGAGACTGAATGACATTTTAAACATAGATAGGAGAGATAGGAGATGTTCGTTGAATGACCAAAATTAAGAATTTCCCAATCGAAAACCGATGACCGATGATGATTGTGAAAAAAAATATGTAGCTTTATTGTTGACAGATGACACTCAATTCAACTGCACACAAATATACAAATTGAACTTAAAAACTGTAACTGTTTAAATTGTAAATTCTCTCATTCTATATTGATATTTCTTATAAATTACTTCAGAAAATTTTTGTTTTTTTTTCTCACAATGACGACTTGTTTCAGAGCAATATTCTTTCCATTGGATTTGATTTGGACATGCCTTGAGCCAAAATTGGGCTAATTAGAAGAATTCTTGTGATTCATATTTCAGGCTGTGTTCAGCGGTCAGTAAAGATTAAAATATATTATAGAATAAGCGTAAACTAATGAAATTTGGAGTGATGGAATTATTAGATGACACCATTGCTTTTGTGTCTCCCATTTTGTCGCACACAGAATGGACAAAACGTTCGCCGTGTTACTATTTCGGTGAAAATACTATGACAAGCCGCATGATATTGTCCGCAACATTTTGTACACTGGGAAAGATTATCTGCAATGAGAATTCCCATGAAAATTAATATCGTTTGCATAAGCGATTGTGACTAATCGTAGGCTCACTACGGAAAAAAAAACATGATTACTCACTTCGTTTGTAACAGGTCAAGCAGACTTTCTCTGTATTGTTAATCGATCCATTCGACGAAATCGATGAACTGGATGATGCATTCGATTTGATGCCTTTTCCCTTCTTGGGTTGAACCACTGGTTCTCTTGTTTGTGCATTTCCATTGCTTCCAACGCGACGCTTGGCACGTGTGGCTGGTGGTGAGTATAGAAATTGTCGTTGTCGCTTGTTTGCGAATTGTCTTTCGAACAGTTCAAATTTGCCGTAATGAAAATCGCCACGTTCGGTGCTTGTGCAGAGGCGCTTCTTTCGTTGTGGCCGTCGGTTCATCATGTATTCAGCGTATGCCGGTGTGAATAGACCGAATAGGCGTAAAAAGCCTTCTTGTCCGAGATCAGTTGCATCTTGTTCGTCTTTCATCGGGTCTATTTCAACGGATGAACCATTCGATGAACGTGACGATGACAATGAGTTACACTGAACGTTGAGTGTTGGCTCTGGTGATGCAGTTTCAATGCGATTCTGAGTTTGTTGCCCTTTGTTCACATCTTTTGCTTTGCTCAGAGCGGCTGTCAATCGTAATCGACTTAGACTGATGGCAGCTGGCTGTTGCTGCAATGGTTTCTCAACCACTGCCTCCGATTTTTGTATGCCAATCTCAGGTCTGACTACACGAATCGGATGCACCTCTGGCTCAATCTCTTCAATTTTCCGTTGATGAATTGGCTTCAGTAACGATTGTCCTGGTTGATTCTTCAGTACAACAGCAACAGGCTGATTGTTTGGCTTTCTTGGCCCCGAATACACTTTTTGCTCCACACGTACTTCTTCGGATTTAACGCGAATTTCCATCTTTTCTTCGTCCGATCCAGATGTTGGCTCCGTTTTCACATCCTCCGACACCGACGTTCCACTTGAATGACCATCTTCAACGGATACCGCTGGTCGAAAGTACTTTGAATACAGAGCATCTTCGGATAGACGGGTCTGTACGTTCATGGGCCGTATTTCGCCGGTGTTGGAACGTGAATAGCTCTGAAGCTCTGCACGCACCCAATTTGTCAATCGCTCACGATCTATCAATTTGGCATTCTTTGTGATTTGATGGTAGTCAATGAAAAATCTCAAACGATTGAATAGCAATTTCTGTAAGAAAATACACACAATTTAGCACACCTCTTCACCAAAACAATTTAGTATATGAAAAGCAATTAAAATAATTTACCTGTTCACCGCCAATGTCCATTATTTCCTTTTCAATCGATCTCATTGTCTTGTGGAGATGCGCCTCCGGCTGAAATTAACAATAAACATATTTTTTGAATTTTTTTTTCTATAAATGGCTACGAAACAATCACACAACAAAAATGAAGAAAGAAAACTCACAATTTTCATCATCGGTCCACATGATGCAATTTTCTGTGGAGAAGCAAAATCAATGAATTCAACAGATAAGCACATTTAGTTTATCGCTATTCAAATAAAACGTCAAAATTCTTTGAAGCATTAAAAAATAATATTTAAAGTCAACTCTATCCGAATGATTAGTTCGGGTTTCACGGCAAAAATATTTATCATTTACTCCTCAGTTGTTCAAATTGAAATGTGTTCATTTTGTGAAACCAAAATACGGGCTTCTTTGAAACGAACGATTCGTTCCACTATGAGCACCGTATTAATATCCGCTTATAGACACTGTGTGTGATTTGACATTGAGATCATCATTCCATTGTTTAAAACGAAAAAAGTCGTAAGTGCGCCTCATGTAAATTCCTCGTTGAATTATTGGCACAAGGAACCGCATGAGAAAAGTAAATTGGATTGATGAACTAGAAAAAATTACCTGATGAACTAAAATGTGGTTGGTCAAAGCTCGTTGACAATAGACCAGATCATTTTTGATATCTTTCGGAAATTCAAAGTCACTTTTCATGTTTGTTTGCTAAATTTTAATTTCAAAAATCACTAAAATTCTTATGAAAATCACCAAAATCAACTGTATTTTGGTACAATACGATTGAAATATGCTTCTAACCGATACTCTATGTCCGATGAATGGCACTGGTATCAGAAAATGTTATATTCAAAACCGGAAGAAATTTTATTTAATAAACTCAATTCAGCCGTAAATGACGTAAATTTGGAATACTTTCGTAAGATTTCGTTCAATTTTTTTTATCGGGGTTCAACACAAGAACGTTATTATTTGGGAATAAGAGCAGAAAATTAGACGTTTCAATTTCAGTTCCGCATCCAATGTACTGTTTAGTCAATGTGAATTTCTTATAGTGATGTTATTTTCTGTGTCGTTCACTGCCCAATGTCTCTCTCTCTTTATATATATATTCTTGAGCTATTTAGTGTTGCCCGAAACGAAATTTATGGATATGAATTGAATATGAACGGTATGCCAAGTGACAGGCATTCGTAATGTTTATCAATCCGTTTGCATTGAAAATTTTGCGTTTATCAGCATTTATTTGTTTGGAACGGATAGATTTTAATAAACCAAACAAAATAGGCCAATTTTGCTTATGGTGACATTTTTTCTCTCGCCGTTTGATTTGAGCCAAGTTGTGAATCATTTATGCGGGCTTTGATAAAGCATTCATGTGAATATAACAGAATTTCTCACTTCAGGCAACTTCGGTCAACTTCTCTTTCTCTTTGGCCAACAAATTTACACTATTAAAATAAATTGAAAAGACAACATATGGAACTTTTCTCTTGCATATTTCATTGTCATCTTTGAATTGTATCAGGACTTATTTTTTCGGTAACGTTTTTAGAAAAAACCTCAATCGGAAATTTATGCCAAGTAAAATTTCGCCAATTGGGGCATTGCTGTTGGTACTTCCATTTAAAACCCTATCGTCGATTGCATTTGTTTCAGTCTTATTTATTTGTGATCAATAAACGATATAAAGATGCACTGCAAACATGATCGTGTTACATGAAATAGAGCGTATTATGTTTTGCGTATGGTTTTGTATACGGTAATCAAGTATGTGAACCGAATACACGCACACATACGCACACGCAGCCAATTCATTTTAACATCGGTTTGACAATTCAGCATCGGTGTTTCGATTCGGAGGGAAAAGCAAATTCGAAGCGTTGCTCAAGTACTGCGTACAGCAGCAACAAAGCAAACGAAAGAAATAAGGATAACAATCAACACAGTCAACGAAGGTAATAGGAAAGAAAACGACGAAAGAAAAAAAAACTGTCAAAGTCAACACTGTGTTTATAAAATTGAAAGAAAATAAAAATGAGCAAATCGAAAGTAAACTCAAGAAGTGTAAGTGAATTGTTGAAGCCGTACGAAAATTTATTGGATAAACTACCGGATGAAAAACCATTGAAGGCAAAATTAATTGAAACACCATTGGGACAAATATTTGCGGTGTCAAATGAACGGGCTTTGGTGTTTGTTGTCTTTGCCGACAGTCGACACTTTGACCGTGAAATAAAGAGCTTCATCAAAATCCACTCAAAGGCCATCATTGACGAGGAGGTGAAACCATTGAAAACGGTCGAATCGGAAATCAAGGCATATTTCGATGGGAAATTGAAGGAGTTTGACACACCGTACGAAATTGATGCGGCTGGTACTGAATTTCAACGCAAAATTTGGGATGAAATCAACAAAATTGACTACGGAAAAACCATCACATTTGCTGACCTCGCCAAGGCTGTGGGTAAACCTGGAGCAGCTCAACCTGTTGCAAATGCTGCCGGTCGTAATCCAATAGCACTCATCATTCCAAGCCATCGTGTTTTATCGGCTGCCAAACCAAATGATGCCGGCAATAGTTGCATCGTACGCCGTGAATGGCTGTTGAATCATGAGAAGAAATTCGCACAGAAAAAGTGATAGTTGCATACATTTGTTGTTAGTTCATCTTCAATTTTTACTAAGGAATAGAAATAAATAATAAGAAATGTTGAAATAAAGCGGTTTTGCACGATTGTTTTTTTCTTTTCTTTTTTTTTTCATGGAATTGAATTCGGCCAAAAGACATAATTCATTATCATTGACTTGGTGCCAACGAAAACTTTTTTATCCAAACAGATAAAACCCATTTTTGATATCAGCTTCAGTCTCGCCTTTGCATTATTCAGAATCGTTTCAGTTTTAAATATTGATTGAATGACATAACCAAAACACACAATGCAAATATATAAACACAATGAAATGTCAAACGACAGCCTTTGTTTACCGCTCATTGTTTTTATTACGAATGAAAGGAAGGAAGAACAATTCGTTGGAATATTACGCGTGAAACTCGTCGAAGGAAATATTTGTTTAGTAAAAGTGTCTCGTTATATTTTGTGGTCGCAAAGTATCAATTTTGAATTGAGTCACGAGTTTTCTCCTCAAAATCTTCAATAAAATCAATCCAGTAAAATTGCAAACAGTGCAAATTCAATTCCAGTTAAATATGGGCAAAATCAAGAGAAATTCACTGAAAGCCACACGGGATGTGTTGAAACCATACGCCAGCGTTTTTGATGGTGATAAAAAGCCCCTCAAAGCAAAAGTCATTGAATCTCCAATTGGTGCATTGATTGCTGTGTCGAATGAAAACAATCTACTCTTCCTCACTCCCATTGGAGGCAAGCACTTGGATTCTGAGCTGCAGCAACTAACCAAAGTGTTCTCAAAGTCAATCGTTGAAGATGATGACAGCAAACCGTTGAAGTTACTTGAATCAGAACTGAATGAATACTTCATAGGTGATTTGATGGAATTTAAAACGCCATTTGAGATGAATGCAATTGGAACGGAATTTCAGCAGTCAGTATGGAATGAAATACACAAAATTGAATATGGCAAAACAAGTACCTATTCGGAACTGGCACGGAAAATTGGAAAACCGAAGAGCTACCGTGCCGTGGCAAATGCTTGTGGTCGCAATCCGATTTCAATTGTCATACCATGTCATCGTGTACTGGCCTCAAACAACGGTCTGGGTGGTTACAGTAGTGGTGTTGAGAAGAAAGTGTTGCTGTTGGATCTTGAAAAGGGAACGAGCCGTGTAGAAAAGAAACTTTGAAGCGAGTTGAAATGAAAGAAAATCTTTGATTTAGTCTAGAATTAAGCTCCAGTTTTACACAAAGGTCGCGAACTTGACAGTAAAAATAGAATAAGAAGAGTTGCAACTCAACAATAACAAAACAAAAACAAGAATTGAATGTGATAAGATGAAATCCACTGTGAGGTCACGATAATTTGATCGAAATTGCTACAAAATTGTGCCTAAAGTATTCACAAAAACCAGATTTACCATTAAACAGATAAATAAATCATGTATTCACAAAATGAAAATCGAGTCTTTTTACATCTATGATCAAATCTAAATCAAATCAAAGCAAATCTTATTTTTGAACAGGCGGCACTTCTGTTGGCTTCACTATCGATGGTTCCTCAGTTTTCTCTTCTAATATTTTATCTCTCAATCGTTTTGGCATGGCTTTTAGGTACATCCCAGTCACGGAACCATACAATTCGGTCATCATAGGGAATTTATCCTCAACACGCTCTCGAAAATCTGTAAACAAAACAAAAAAATCCTGATGAACCTATTCATTCAAAGTTGAGTTTGAAAACACTTTAACCTGGGTTGTTTTTGTATTCTCGATACAGATAATATCCCGTTCCGATTGCCATTACTTCCAAGGCCAATCCATAGGTGAAGGTGTTTCTGAAGATTCGTTTCCAGTTTACTTTCGGCGGATCCATGGCTGTGTGAAATGGAAATAGCTCTGCACACAAATACAGACTGACCGACTGACTGACTGAGTGAGTGACATAACCACAATTTTGTCATATAAACAACAGAGTGAAGTGTCAAACAGATGATACGAACGCATATGAATGGGTGAGATTGAAAACAAGACATATTTCTACAGCATATTTAAATGAAACACCAAAAAAAAGATTTTTTTAAAGTGTAACATCGGCAGAGAGTTTTTCAAAGTGAAACACCGCGTGTTACATTTCAATAAAATTTGTTTTCCATGATTCACCTTGAAAAACGTTTGCGGCGATGTTTCGTTTCGAAATATTCTTGTGTTGGTGTTGCATTTAATTGATTTTCTGCGCATGTTTTGTTTCAATATATTTTTATTTGATGTTACAGTTCGATAAATTGTCGCAATCAGATAATATTATTAAATTTTTGCATATGGAAATATCTCGAAAACGGCTGGGTAAAACGGCAAAATGGACCGTGATATCACTCCCAAAGGGAGTGCAAACACCCAGCTGGTTTGATGGCCTAGAATACAAATCCGGTGAAATTTCAGCTGATCCATGGATTTTCTGGATTTGACCAGATTCCAGTGCTTCCTCTTCTATGTGCATCTGTAAAGTCATTTTACCTATGTTTTGTATGGAATTTCACCACGAAGGAAAGAAATTGAAGTGCTAGAATCAGGTCGAATCCTGAGAATCCATGGATCAGCCCAAATTCCAACGGATTTGTATTCTAGGCCATCAAACCAGCCAGGTGTTTACACTCCCTTTGGGAGTGATATCACGGTCCATTTTGCCGTTTTACCCAGCCGTTTTCGAGATATTTCCATATGCAAAAATTTAATAATATTATCTGATTGCGACAATTTATCGAACTGTAACATCAAATAAAAATATATTGAAACAAAACATGCGAAGAAAATCAATTAAATGCAACACCAACACAAGAATATTTCGAAACGAAATATCGCCGCAAACGTTTTTCAAGGTGAATCATGGAAAACAAATTTTATTGAAATGTAACACGCGGTGTTTCACTTTGAAAAACTCTCTGCCGATGTTACACTTTAAAAAAATCATTCGTTTTTGTATCATTCATATATATTCCCAGAATATGTCTTGTTTTCAATCTCACCCGTTCATATGTTTTTAGACCTTTAAAAACAGAAAATAGCAATTTTGCTTTTTGACCAACAATTAATCTCAATTTTCGGAATTTTTGAAATCAATATATTATAATCGGTATAGCAAATGCATATCAACATGTATTATTTTTAATTTAATGACAATGAAATTACAAAACAATTAAGTAAAACCAATCTTATGTGGCATTTCAAGCGATAAAAATAAATGTGAACAAAATCGATAGAGCAAACACAATTGGTAGTTTTTATTTGCATTTTTTTCGTTTCAGATGATTCAATTTTGCTTTGATTTGAATCAGATTCCAAATTAATTGTAGCGCTCTCATTTGAATATTCAACCAAAAACCTCCCATATACATGAAGTTGGCTGTTGATGAATTGAAATGACAGCGCGAACGTCACTAGTGCTAGATTTTTTATGTCATTAGTGTGTTGATGCTTGAACGCTTTTGAATGTTTTCATTCACATCTGATTAACGTAGGCAAAAATAGATAATTCCGTCTTCCGGAAAGAAAAAAAAGAAATAAATTTTATTGAAAATCAAGTTTGCATATTTTTAGAATTGTTGTTAGCATTGTATGTGCATAATTACTGCCTCGAAATATGTCCAATCATCATTTACTTTCGGGGAACCCATGGGTAGTCGGTATGAATTCGTTCATCATTTGTTTTGTTTTGTTTTGTTTTGTTTTGTTTTGTTTTGTCCCATTTATTCATATTTTATCAATTTCGCATTTTCGTATATTCGTCGAATAGAAGAAAAGTTTGCAGAAATGGATATAAAGGATATAAAAAAGGAAATATTGCATGTGGAGATTGGTAAATATTTTATATTTTTGTGTGTATGATTGTGTATAAATGATTCAGATTAAATTAAGAAAATTCGATATATCCGCTTTCAGACTCAAAGGCTTACCTTGAGCATGCAATGTATCATATGAACGATGCACGCACATCACTTTTGCTCCACATGCCGAACAGCGACAATTATTTAATTGCATCGAGTAAAATGTTTTTGGCAAATATGAGGCAGGCGATCACCGCACAAAACGAATACATCGATAAGTTCAGTGTTGACCCGGATCCCGATGAGAGTAATGAATTGAAAATTGGTAAGAGACTTTTTATTGGAACGGAATAACAAAAAATCTAAAACATTTATTCGCGTGTGTTTTCAGCATCAAAAGGATGGTATAATTTGCTACTAAGACAACTTATGCAGCACAGAATCATTTTAGCGAACGCAAGTAAGACTTAAATCACTCTATCTTTTATCCTTATGAATATCAATCAGTAACGCATATTGAATTTTTAATCAGGGGCCTTGGGCAACCAAGATTGTGGCTATTTGGTCAAATTGGAAAGTAAATGGCAATCCAACTGGCGACTTCAAGAGCGACTTAGAAGGGATATGAATGCACGATATCCATAAATTCAAAATCAAGAGCGATCGAATATTTCAAATCCATTGTAGGATCATTCATCAAAGTATTCACAAAGCAAAAACCAGATTTGCCATTTAACAGATAAATAAAATATGTATTTACAAAATGAAAATCGAGTCTTTTCACATCTATGACACCAAATCAAAGCAAAGCAAATCTTATTTTTGAACAGGCGCCATTTCGGCTGGATTTACTATCGATGAATTTCATAAAATTGATTAAAACTACCAAGATAAAATCAAAAACAAATTCATTCTCTCTCGTGGTATCGATAATATACTTTATTTTGTTTACATTTATTTAAATCAGGGTGTAGTCTTTGAATGATACGATATTATTACAAGTTGGATTCAAGCCTAACATAAAAAAAACCATTTTCTTCAGTGTCTTAATCCAAACGAAATTACTTAATGTACTTTTCCATGAATTTTTTGTGAAATTCAGAGCGAAGCGAATCATTAACAAAGGCTGGTCCTTTTTTATCGGGTTCAGTACGAGCGCAATTCTTGAACACAACGTCATCATCCCAACGACGTTTAACCTTCATGTCTGCTGTGACAGCCTTACCGCTTGAGTAATTCAACAGTGGATTGCCCGACAGAATGTTTTCCATTCGAATTCGTTCATCTTCTTGTTTCTTCTCCAAATCCTTTTTCTCCGCTTCTTGGGCACGTTCGCGTTTGATTTTGTTCAATTCTTCGAGCAATGCGGCGGTGTCATCGTCCGAATCATCATCGGATGACGAAGAGTCCTCGTCGATCGGATCGTCTTGATCTAAATTTGCGGCTGAAACATGATCCAATTTTGGTTTCTTAGACGGTGCTGAAGCTTCGATTGCACGACGAACACCAGCTGGAATGGATTTACTGCTACTGCCACTTGATTTGGCTTCACGGTCTTCCAATTCTTTACGGAAATCACGTTGGCGGAGCTCTTCTGATGTTCCTTGGCCATGCTCTCTATTTAATCGAAGAAAAATAAATGAATTTTGCAATATAAATATGGAAAATAAAAAAAAAAATTGTTGAAAAATTAATGAGTGGACATTTTACCTGTATTTGAGTTTGGTATGGCCTGGCAAATCACGGCTGGAATATTGCTTCGAAAGGGCACTTAAATCCTTTTCACCTCTTCCGGAACCACCCCGAGCTGGATCGAATGTTGGACGAGCGGCAGTAGTCATCGTTCAATTGTTTGCAATTCGCGAGGAATCAATTTGAAATATAATTTTATGTTATTTTCTCTCTTTGTGTTTGCAATTTCTCTGGAATACGATTTAACACGCACAATAAAAATAATGAAAGTGAAGTGTCAAAGTCAATGCGGAAGCTGCAACTTCAGACTGGTCGCATCTTTTGCGGTGGAACTTTTAGCTTTCGGTCGGTCGTTTGAATTTTCAATGAAAATCACTATTTTGCGATGAAAATTGGATTTTTCAACTGATTTTGGAATATAAATATGATTTTTGCACACATTTTCATTTATTTTCGTTTCAATAGTACTTTGTCTGTCGATTTTTTGCCATTTTCAATCAAATGATGCAAAATACTGAATAAAATGTTGGAACAAGCTTGAAAAGTGTTGAAAGAAGCTTAAAATTTGACAGATAGATGTCACTGACATAATAATTCAGTTAAAGTCTTACTAAGATGCGAGCAAATTTTGCTGAACCACAACCGATAGGAGAATAATCGTTGAAGCCTATGCATTTTCACGTTAAACGATTGATTTTCAAAGCAAAATGCTCAAAACTAGTAGCTAGATAGTGTTATAAAATATGCTTTTGTGGTGTCATTTAGCCATAAACTATTCAATTTTCCCTCCATTTAATGTCACCGAAAAAGAGTAACAGCGCAAATGCCTCGCCTCAATCGCATCAGTTCGGTCGAGGCAAAACAGAGATAGACGATAGAAAGTATAAACGCTCACCAATGAAATGCAATTACAACCAAAACGACGGTATGCACATAAAACTGATGCGATATAAAATGAAACCCTTGCATTCAATTACACGAAAGAGAAAAGTTTTTCTTTATTTGAAATGTATTTACAAACAAGAGATGTATACAAAGATCGCCAAGAATGTCATAAATTAGAGAAAAAAAGAGTTAATATTTCAAGTTTTAACTACATGTAGTAAATGCAAATGCGAAATGAACGATAAAATAAATGAAATTGAACTTAAACGTATAACAATTGTATTGATAATTTAATAGCTTTGCAAGTCTTCACTCCTTATTCCACAATAATTATTCTAAATCCATTGTTCGCCTTAGATTTTATTACGTTTTAATTGTATGATGTCGCGTATTTTGTGATTCTCTTTTGTAAATTGTAGCTAAAAATAATTGAAGAAAGAAAAGAAAATGTATAAATTGAGAAGCTTTTGTGATGTGGATTTTTCCATATTTGTCTTCCGTTCCAGAATATTGAAACACACACTTTTTGTATGCTTTTTTTTCTTCAACTAACAACAAGAACCTTACATCCATTATCTAAAGTTTAATGTTTAAAAATTATGTCTAAAATAGTTGTGTATTCAATACGGTCGCCAAACGCTGCTCGGATCGCCGACTTCTTCGTCGCGATTGCTTGTTTGGTGTTCGTTTCGGTGGTGATGGCCGTCGGTTTCATCATTTTCCATTATCACATTTTGATTTCCCGTTGGGCCACTCAATCCAATCTCGGCGCTTGTATTGCGGCCAGAGCTTAGGCTCAGACCATTCTCATTTGTGTTCAAGTACTGCTCGATCTTGTCGGTGCCGTGCAAATGTAAATGGATCTGATTTTGGTTTACCGTCGAGTAAACTTGCGGATAGATGAGCATGGCCGGTGCGGCATGTGGAACTTGTGGCGCCGGTGGATATTGGGTTTGTGTAGGTGTTTGGATGGTTGCGGCCGCAGCAGCTGTTGGAGCAGCATACTGATAGTTGTTGTAACCATTTGACCAATTGTTATACGTCGGATAGCTCGAGTTTAAGGCATCGATGTCGTTGAATTTAGTCAAGCAACCCGAATTGTTTGAAATTGTATTGGTCGGACTGTTGCCCGACGATGGGATCAACGATGTCGAATTCACAACCGGCGTTAAGTGGTTCGACGAATGATATTCGGGAGAGTAAATAGACTGCATCTCGGAAATAACTGTCGAACAAAAAGAGGAAGATAACGATGTTTTAGAAAAAAATGTCACAAGACTTGGAATATATAAAAATACTTTTGAAAAATGACTTAAAGTCATTTGACTTTATTTCAAATCATGACTTTTTGAATTATCTTTCGTTTTAATTAAAGATTTTTAAGCTTTCATTTAGAAGTTTGAAAGTTAAACAACAAGAAAAAGCAATTCAAATAGCAACAAAATATTACATAAAAAACGGATTTTCTCCCAAATTACCTGTTGGAATATGGAAATTCGAGTGGTGGTCGATCATTCCAGCATTTGAGTCATATCCATACGATGAAGCTGTGGTTGTTGCCGGCTGTGGCAGTGCGGCATTTGTTGAATACGGTGTGTAAGTCGGTGCATTTGTATAACCAGTCCATTCAGCCGCACCCATCAAATTGTTTTCTGCAATTAAGCAACGGTTCACAAATTAATTTAAAACATTCTTCAGTAGTTTATTTTTCGAAAGCGTTTTTGCAAATATTAAGAAATTGTGTTGATTCTGAATTTCATTTATTTATTCAATACAATTAGTAAGTTTGTCCATACTAAAATCTCCATCCAATAGAAAAAAAATGTCACAATTTCCACTGAATCGAAATGATTCGATCGAATGCGATATGAATCGAAGCCGCGATGAGACATAAAACAGTCATCACACGCCATCGATTGATGACGTTAGATAGAACCGGCATAAATCCAACAAAAAATGGGTTGTGAATGTGTTTCGTAAGCTAAAAGATATATATCATTTCATACATGAATAACTGTAGCATTAAAATGTGCGATGGATTCGATTTTCGAGATTGACACTTAATATTGCCGCCGTATACCGTAAAAAGGTGAACGTTAAAGCCGAACGAACAAAGAAGAACACGATCATTTTTCTCTTGCATCGATCGATTTCACAATGAATAACTTTTTATTTGAATTCATATGGCTTTGTGTGTGTGTGTGATGAAAACGCAGTCCGCATTTTCCGAATCGATGCTTGTAATCGATATATGTTTTGAAGTGAAGCATGGTAAAAGACAATTGAAATAAATGCATCGAGGAACTGCGGCACAACTGATAGAGCTCTATCTCTGGCGTACAGGAAAGAAGGCTTGAATTTTAAATATAGTCAAGAGGCAAAAAAATTGCACACACTTCTAAGATGGGTTCAGCCAGAAATCAGTTGCAGAGTAAATCTGATATGATTGACTTCAACGAGCGAATAAAATGAAACAACAATATAATATGATAGTTAGTACCATAACTCAATTAGCCAAGAAAAAAAAAACCATATTCCATTGAAACGAACAAAGTAACTTAAGCTGTGCAGCTGCAGCACAAACAATGTCAAAAACATTACACGTTCGAGCTGCTTTTTTCACTTACTCTGGACCTCTACTATTATAATATGAATAAAAAAAAAGTCAGCAATAAACTCATTTATTATTCTTGTTTTTTTTTCTCATTTCTTGTGCGCGCTGTGTGTCGTTAATATCGCTCTTGCTTCTTAGTGACATATCAAATTTTCTGCTCATAATTATTAACGCTTCACAGATTTATTGCCATGAAATTAATATTGGTGTTAAACTCAAGCTGAACGGGAACAAGAAGTGGCTTTGTTGCATAGAGAGACGAAAAAATGTATGGTGTGCAACAGTAAGGAAAAATAAAACAGCGAGTAATAAAATTCATTAGGAATGAGCAAATTTATGCGAGCATAGAGTGATCAGCGATCCGCAGAACATTGAATTGATTCAAACCCAATAAAAACGAACCTTAATTGGGATTAGAATTAATTAGATTTTTTTTTCATTTTTTCATCCGCTAAAAATAATCAGCGGCTGCATTGTTTTCCATTTGATTGAGGTGTAATAATTGCAATCTGGTTGAGCTCACAGTGTCAAAGACACAACCTTGACCAATATATTTCGATTGAGAAAAAACCCAAAATATCGGCGGCAAGAAAATCATTTCGATGATTAAGTGGTTTCATTTGTCACACAGAGAACAATAGCCTTATCCGCAATGTTATCAATTTCCAATTCAAAAATCAGGTATTGAACCGAATTTAGTCGATTTCTAATTTACATACGTGTGTAAAAGCTTTTTTTTGACCATCCAAATTTTGAACCGGTGATGAGTCAGCGCATGGGTTTTTTGTTGTTTCTGCTTTATTTCCCTCTACGATTGATTTCTTTCAAACTTGTTTAACATTCAAATCGGAGACGAGGAACGTCTTGTTATAGCCCGAAAAATCAAGTCAACGAGAGACGGCACTTTGATCTAAAATTACCGATCGAATTGAAATCCAAGGCGATTTGGTGTCAGCGCTCTGCGCTGCACATCACGTTCAATGTCTCTTTTTGATTAAGTGGAATGTTATGTTGGTCGGTTGGTGAACAATGGGCCATTGTTTGGAAAGGAGTTAGAGATAGAGAGTGCCCAAATGACTGGACATCGATATATGCATAGGACTCTTCAAACATACACTTATTTTCGCAGCCCAATAATTGAGCCATATTTCACCATATGCTAATTCTCATATAAATATTTGGTTCGCAGTGCAAACTTTGCAATAGCCCACCCATCGCCTCAATTGGCTATCGCTTGTGCAACAACTCAGTTCACAATTGGCCATTAACAATTTAATATACCGGCAATAATGCACCGTCAAAATTAAGTTATTACTCGAAACGATAAATTATTCGCTAAATAATTAATGGAATTTCAAGCATGTGCGACAAATGGAGGGAACTTCTTTTCAATAGCAAATTGATAACTAGAGTTAAAATTCCCAAATAGACTCGTCCGTAATTTCCTATCGATTGATAGTCTGGCTTTGTTTCAACGAATACAACCAGCAATTCGCTGAATCGATTCAATTTGTAACATTTTGATGCGCTGTCATACGACAGTCAAGAGTGACGCAAAGTGTTTTTACCGTGAAACACAGCTCACAAAAGTTCATAAATTCGTCTATCTGGTCGAAAGAAGCAAGCAACGAAAAAAAAACTACTCGCGGGCCTTTCAAAATCATGAATGAACGAGTCAGTCGTCTGTCCAGCTGTTTAACAATCTGAGTAACTATATAATATATGATAGCTGATAAAAACACTGACGATGATGACTCGTAAACAGGTTTTATTTCATTTGATGGTGTGTAAAATATGAATTCCGCCGTTTCTCACACAATTCGCTCAATGTCTTACACTCTCCGCGACTCCGAAATGTTTCTTTTTCTTCCTACTCTTTAATTTGTTGACTTCATTTGAATAAATTTGTGCAAAAATTGTGCCATTATTTCATTCTAAACATCTACAATTTTTCTAAAAAAATACATAAAAAACTGTCGTTTGGTTTCTCCGTCGCTTTAAATGCATGGCGCTTCATTTTCGATAGTGTTTTCTTTGTCAACGAACAAAACCCACTTTTTACTATTCATTTTTTTTCGCTTCGTCTGTTTGTTTATGTATTTTTTTCAACGAGAATATGATGAAAGGTAAAATGAAGACACAAATTGTATGTGTGTATGGTCACTACCGGAAATTCTTCAACTCGTCGTCGAATACGTTTGCTTTTGCTGTTGTTGTTTTTGTTGTGTGTGGATTTTGATTGAGTTTCATTTTTTGGTTGGCCAATCGGCGGCAGAATGATAAATGGATTGAAATCAATCTAGTTTGATGTGTCGATGCATTCGAAAAGCGGCGACCACACAAACGTATACACACAAACAGAACCGACCGTAGACAACTTCGACCCGTGTAAAACGTCATTATGCAATGAGGCGGCTCTGACAGGGAATTCGAGAGATGCACACACATTTGAGTGCAGAAAGAGTCATATTCACAGAGAAAAAGGGGCTCAGCATGAAAGACGTTATATGGACACACAGATCGACCATCAAATCGATTAGCATCATCATTTGTTAACGCATTTCGCTCTCGTTTCACTTACTCTCGCTCTCAGCACATACAAACACACACACACACACACCGCCCGGTCAATTTGTCGATCAGTGTATAAACCGCAATTTATGTAAACTGACAATATTAACTTAAATTAAAGTGTTATTTCGTTGTTGCTTTTTTTTCGTCGGCTGCGGATTGGTTTTGTGTGTTATTCGGCCACGACTTTTGGTTTCGTTTCGAGGTTTTTGGTTCGTGCGGTAGCGATTTTCTTATAACAATCTAATAAAACGCAAAAACCCAAAGCGAGACAGTGAGACAGAGAGAGAGTGTGAAAATTTGTGTTGGCAATGCGCTTCTGGATATACTACCAATCGACCGGGAAAATGTTTGTATGTATGGAAGAATGTTGCGGCTAACCGAATTTGCACCAAAACACACACACACACACACACCACCACCGCATTTTTCAGTGTCACTTAGTGAGGTTATTTAAAGGGAACACACTGCTCTACATAGGAGCACTTTGGTTTTGTTTTGATTCCAGTTGAAATTCTAAATTCTCGTTTCCTTTTTCGGCGGCAGCAGCCCGCCTTTCCTGTGAACATCAGCAACTAATTTATATCCGTATTCAAATTCTCAGGACCTTGTGCAGAGAGCGAAAAAGATGCGCTGTTTCTTTGCATCTTTTTTTCTACCTGACTAAGGAACCAACGACTAACGCGCATTTATATTCAATCACATTTCAAGAGAATTCACAATTTGCGCATCGTCTCAACTTCTTCTTTCGTTATTCGATCCAATGGAAGGCATGGATTTCTTTGAATATATCTCGACACTATCATAAAAAAAAATCATGATCATTTTTCGATCAGTTCTCGGGACAGATAAAAATTCGTTAATTCGTTTCTTGTTATTTTTAGCAATAAAAGAGTATCATTCCAGTTAAGATTTTTCAGAATTTCACAAAAAAAAATATTTTTTGGAATATGAAAGAATCACACAGGAAATGAATCGATTCGTTTCGTCTTTGTCGCTTGACCACTTTGATGGGAACAATCATTTGGTGGGTGATTAATTAGAATTTGAAAAAGGAGATTGAGAATCATTTCGTTCTAATGATGCAAGAGAAAATGACTAAATTTCGATTTGAAATGAAACAATACATTGATAAACTGCAGCCATTAACTACTTTTCGGCTACTCCTCAATTACAAATGCATTAGTCATTTATCAACGGCATATGATCTTTCGTCAAGTTTTGTTTGTTTTTCGAATATTTGAAGAAAAATGAGAAAATTAGAAAAAAAAAATCCGAAGATGTCTTCACCTTGTTTGTCTTTGATATTTGACTCAATATAAGACCACACAAGGAATTATTTAATGAAAAATTGACTTTGAGAAAGTATTAGAATCGAAAAGGAAGGGAAAATTTAAACAGAAGGGCCTTCCGCAGAGTGTTACTAATAATCAAAATAGGCAACATTGAGCAAAACCTCCATGAAAA